TTAATGTTGTAAAATAAAATACTAACAACAATAATTGTAAAATTATGGTATTATGATAAAAATAATCATTTTAAAAATAATCGTCTTGGTTGATATAATCATAGAATAGAAACCATTCCCTGTTTTTTTTTACATGAATTGCTCGGCCGTGATTATATTTTTCTCCAAATATTTCAGAAAATAAAAACATTCGTTATAAATGTAAAACGAATGATTGCTCTGTCGGATTTCAAGACATGACATGCAACCGTGGGATCACATTAGCTTGCCTGTTTTAGAAGCCTCTGGTGGGGGTATCTCTGCTAGGTTTAATCCTCTAAGCTAATGCGGTTTACGCCATGAATAGATGGCTGGCGAGACCAGAATTGCTGGTTAAATTGTCGATGGACCCAAAGAAGAACGCAAAATTAAATACCAAAGGGAATCAACTTGAATTTATTAAAAATTTTAGGGTGTAAATTTAAATTTATAAAATTTTAAGGGGAGACAAAAACATATTTTTAATAAAAAAAGACAAAAAATTTAGAATATATGCTAATTTTAAATCTTTAAAGTGGTGATCGGCTGAACGCCCCCAACCGTCCCGCTCAGGTCCATCCCTGAATCAACCTAATTTGACGTGTCGTTAGAAGATCAACGCATGTTGTCGATGCCTCTTCTATAACAAGTAGGATTGTAAACGAGTTGAGCCGAGTCTCAGTAAGCTCGAACTCGACTCAGAAACTCTGAAATGGAGCTTAATTTAACTAGAAAACTCGCGAGCCTAAAATTTTCAAACTAGACTCGAAGTCGAAATTTTAAACTTAAACTCGTAAAAGCTCGAAAAAAGGCAAGAAAAAAGGGAAAATCTTAATTTTAACTTGATTAAAGCCTCAAACTCAAACTTGAACATTAAATACATGAAAACATTATAAAATTTTTTTTTAAAAAAAATCAACACATAAATGTTAATATTATTAATAATTTATTTATTTTAAATAAAATCTTAATATATTTTATTTTCGAGCTGCTCGCGAGCTTTTCGAGTCGAGTATCAAGTAGCTCGTTTCGGTTCGTTAAGAATTCGAGTTGAGTCCATTCGAGTCGAATATTTATCAAATTTTAAAATAATCGATCTCAAATAATTCACGATATGTCTCGTTTCATTTACTGTAGTAATAACAAGTCTTGCATGGCTCTAAATATAATAAACTCGGTCTAAAACCCCTACTTTAAACCTACAATAAAGTATCAATAAAAGCATATTAAAGCTAGACCTAAATGTAAAATAAATATTTAAATTATATATCTTTATTGATTTTAGTTAACTATTTAGTTAATGAATTAATAAATAGTAAATTGAGTTTTTATTTTTATATAAATGATCAAGTATAATCATATTGATGTTATTATATAATACGAGAGTTGATAGTTTTACTAATTGTGATTAGTTCAAGTAGTAAGCAGTTTGATATTGTTTTAACAAAGGTTTCGAGTTCGAGTCTTTCTATTTGTCGAAAATCTCTATTGAGAAACTCACTCACTAAAACTAGGCGTGCAATGCGAGTCAATCTAAATTAGTCAAAATAAAACTTTAAAACCGAGAGAACAACTAATAAAAGAGATGATAGTCTTAAAAAATAGATTAGTGATTGAAATAAAATTAAAATAATTGTTCAATGATTAAATATATAATTTATTTTTTTCCTTGATAATTATTAGTATTAATTTTAATTACATTTAACTGGTTTTGGTTTGATCGAAAGTCTAAACCAAGTGGGTTGCTCCGTCCCCATCTCAAACCTATGCTACCACGTCACTCATGCGCTAGACTATCTTTCCCGCAAGCTCACACGCTCTAGCACGTGGGAAATGCCATACGTGTGAAGAAGTGTCGGTGGCTGACAACACATTCAAACGTCATCAGACAGCCAATTTGACACGCACCATTAAAAATTTTGGTAAACTATACTAGAGGCCATCCAACTATAGCCTCTTTTCATTTCGATTACAATTTTTGAATTATTTCCAATCAGACCATCTAACTATTTAAATGCATTCAATCATACCACTTTCTGTTAACATTTAACTAAAGCGATGATGTGACAGTTAATAAAACTGATATAATTACATATTTGATCCTTAATATTTATACATTCTTTTAATTTGGTCATAATTTTAACTTAATTTAATAAATTTAATCTCCAATTAGATAGTAAAATGTGTCACTAGCATATTGAAAGATATATTATTAATTTTAATTATTTAATTTATATCCAATCAGATGGTGACACATGTCACCACCTGATTTGATACAAAATGCAAAAAAAAAATTAACTTGCCGCTTGAGGAACCAAACTTTTAACCCCCAACATCTTCAAAGCACACCCAAACTGCTAGGCTAAGTCCCTCTATCAGTATTGAATTAATCTTCTTATATATAACATGTTATAAACAATGGTAGAGAAAGATAGGAAACTAAAATATATTTTTAAAAAGTAAATCTTAGATTTTTATATTTTAAACTATCTATGAGTTTAATACAATCCTTTATATAAGCATCAAATAAATTTTTAATATAGTTAATAATTTTAGTTTTATTTAATAATATATATATATATATATATTAATTATCTTAAAAAATTAAAATTATACGTTATTTATATAAAAAATAAATTTAAAATATAATTAATATAATATTTAAAATAATAATAAATTTATTATGTATAAAAATATATTTTTATTTTTAAAATAAAATTAAAAATTAATTTTATCGAAACTTGAATTCATATTTTAAATTATATTTATTTTTATATAATCAATTTTTATTTTTTAACCTCTCTATTATATATATATATAATTATTAAATAAAATTAAAATTATTAATTATTAATGATTATATATAAAATATATATAAAAATAAAGATGGTTTGAAAATATAAAAATCTAAATTTCACTTCTTTTTCTTTTAAAAAACTCAAGTTTCGAAACTTGAATTCATATTTTAAATTATATTTATTTTTATATAATCCATTTTTATTTTTATTTTTTAACCTCTCTATTATATATATATATATATATAATTATTAAATAAAATTAAAATTATTAATTATTAATGATTATATATAAAAATATATATAAAAATAAAGATGGTTTGAAAATATAAAAATCTAAATTTCACTTCTATTATATATATATATATATTTATTAAATAAAATTAAAATTATTAATTATTAATGATTATATATAAAATATATATAAAAATAAATATGGTTTGAAAATATAAAAATCTAAATTTCACTTCTTTTTCTTTTAAAAAACTCAATATATAAGTTTGAATCCATTTAAATCATGTTAGTTTCTTATTTTTTTTTCTACCAATGGTCATAACATTTTATATACAAGAAGATGTAATATAATACTAGCTGAAGGATTTAGCCTTGTGGTTTGGACGTGCTTTGAAGATGTTGGGGGATTAATAATATATCTTCCAATATGTTAATGATACATGTCATAATTTAATTAGAGGTTAAATTTATTGAATTAAGTTAAAATTATGACCAAATTGAAAGAATTTATAAATATGGATGATCAAATGTGTAATTATACTAGTTTATTAACTGTCACATCATCACTTCCGTTAAATGTTAACGAAAGTGGTTGTTAAATGTTAACGACAAGTGACCTGATTGAATGCATTTAAATAGTTGGGTGGTCTGATTGACAATAATTCAAAAATAGTGTTCGAATTAAAAGGGGATATAGTTGGGTGGTCTATGCTATAGTTTACCCTAAATATTTTTAGTAAATTACATCATTTATTATTATATTATTATTTTCTCCTATTTTGATCACATATTAATCATATATATAATTTATTAGTAATATTATATTTTATTTACTCTTTGTTAAATATTTATCAGAAAATATAAAATAACATAATATAATAATAATTTTATTTTTTTAAAATTTATATATATTATTAAATTAAATGTTAATTTAAAATAATTTAATATTTTTAATATCTAAATTCTGTATTGATAGTAGGTAGTTTAGATGTATGTATACAATTACATCAAAATTTTATATTTAAAGATACAATTTTTTTAAAATATATATATTAAAAACTTAAAAATATGAAATTGGATCATCTAGAAAAAATTATAAAATATTTAAATTATATAATTTTAATTTTTTTTAATCTATTAACCAATTAATCCGAATTAAGTACTGTAGAGACAAGAGCGACCCTCCCAATCCAATTTACTCAATCTGCGAACGAAAAGGTTCAAACTCTTAATCTTATTTAAAAATTTATTGTCATCCTGAATTAATTAATTGTTGATTTTTAAAAATTGAAAAATTTGATAATATTGTTATCGATTTATCGTAAATTAAACTACTTGATAATATCCACTTTATATATATTTATTTATAATAATTTTGATTCTTAAGTCACAAAAGCGGCTGAGTTAGCTGTCCACTCGTTTTTTATTCAATTTGTTGTTTCTCATCTTCCACGAGTTTCCAAGAGCTTCGACGAAGAAAACATACCACATAGAATTCTGGGTAAAAAAAAATCAAAGGTTTCAGCTTCCTTTGATTATATTTGCTTTCCTGTGATTTTTATCGGGGGGAAATCGCAGATTCTTAGGAACACAATTGTTTTTTACGTGAGCAAAATTCATCTATTTTTTTGTTTACATTATAGTTTAAGAGATCTGGGAGTTCGCGGAAAAAAATCGGAGATTTTGCGTTTATTTGTCTTTTTCTTCTTCTTCTTCACGTTGCATTTTGGTAAGACGCCATTACTGGTGAAGGTGAAGAGTTTCGGTTTATTTCCTCCTTTTTCTAAAATAAATCGTTTGGAAATTCGCGTGCGCGTAGGGATTTGACTCCTATAATGCTGGGATCGGAGTCATTTGTCTGAAAAGAATACAGATCGCCGGCTTTCATTATTTCGAGAGATCTAAAGCAATCGTCCATAAATATTCTTCGTCTTTTTTTAGAGGGGAAAAAAGATGATGGGAATGAAGACTAAAGTGACAGGGCAGTCACCGGTGACAAATGGAGGAGGCTCAGCTTTTAGCGGTGGCGGTGAACCGGCTGCTCAAGATTGGGAGCTTAGACCCGGGGGAATGTTGGTTCAAAAGGACTCCGGTCGAAACTCCATCCCGCCACCGACTATCAGAGTTAGAGTCAAGTACCGGTCCATCTACCATGAAATCAGCATCAGTTCTCAAGCTACATTCGGTGAATTACTATAAAACTCATTCTATTTTCCCCCTTTATTTGGAATTAGTTTCATTGAATCAATTAATCGAAGTTTAAATTATTGACTTTGGGTTGCTTTTGAGTGTGTCAGGGGAGTTGAAGAAGATGTTGACAGGTCCAACTGGACTACACCATCAAGATCAAAAGCTGTTGTACAAAGACAAAGCGAGGGATTCCAAAGCGTTTCTGGACATGGCTGGTGTGAAGAACAAATCGAAACTCGTTTTAATCGAAGACCCAATTAGTCAGGAGAAAAGGTTACTGGAGATGAGAAAGAATGCTAAGATGGAGAAAGCTTCTAAATCTATCTCTGAAATCAGCTTGGAAGTTGATAGTCTTGCTTCCCAGGTACATATTATTCAATTTTCGTGCTCATGAGCTTCATGATTCGTGCTTTTGAGTTTATGTTATTTTGGGGTTTTGTCGATTGTGTTTTAGGTGAAAACCCTTGAATCGATCATTTCTAAAGGTGGGAAAGTGGCTGAGAAAGATTTGATTAGTTTGATTGAGCAGTTGATGAATCAGTTGCTTAAATTAGATGGGATTATGGCCGATGGAGATGCCAAATTGCAGAGAAAAATGCAGGTATCTGAAATGATTATTTGCTCTGCTTTGGTTTTTTGATATTGTAAAGAAACATGTCTTTATTTGCCATTGTTGATGAAGGTGACAAGAGTTCAAAAATATGTTGAGACATTGGATATGTTGAAGATCAAAAACGCTATGCCCAACACCAATGGAGGCCAAACTGAAATGCAGAATCGAAATAAGCATTCGAATGCACAGAAACTAGCACCTATACAAGAGCAGCAATCAAGGGGGCAAAAACTAGCTCCAATGCAAGAGCAGAAATCAAGCAACTCGGTTGCCCATTTGCCAATCCACCAACAGCAGCAGCTGCAGCAATCGGCATTGGGGTCGGTTGTAGTCACCACGAAATGGGAGACATTCGATTCATTCCCGGCATTGGTACCGGTCTCCTCGACATCTACATCCACACCAGCGGCCAATAATTCAGCCTCGCCCAAGTTCCCTTGGGAATTCTTCGACTAAGCAGTACGCTACGTCCCTGTTTTTTTCTTCTTCTTTTTCCTTTGTGAACGTGCTTTGGGTTTGCTTATTCTTCCTGTACTTAGATTTTCTTGAGCAACCCTCTTTTTTCTCTTCTATCTGTCATTAAGTTCACCATAAAAATAAAATGGGGCTTCCATGATAATAGTTAAAAACCTGTTGTTTCAGCTGTATTCTATTGTTGTTGAATTCATTTCCGAGTTTGTGTACTGCCCTCCTTTTGACGGTGGCAAACATTTGTATATTTGTAGACTTTGTTAATTGAAAATATACTAGCCTCTACAGTTTTAAACCCTTGTTTACCTAATGAATAATCTCCATCTCTACGTGGTATGGCCACGGATAGGGCTATAAACGAGTCAAGTCGAGTTCGAATATTGTTGGACTATAACTCGAAATCATGAACTAAAGCTTAAAATGAAAAGAAAAAAAATTTAACTCGATTGAAGTCTCAACTCAAATTTGAATTTGAACTTGAACATTAAATACATGAAAATTTTTTATCATATTTAAAAAAAATCAACACGTGAATGTTAATATTATTATTATTTTTTTAAAAATCTTAATATATTATATTTTTGAGCTGTTCACGAGTTTTTCGAATCGAGTACTAAGTAGTTCGTTTTGACTCATTAAGAATTCGAGTCGAGTATTTATCGAGCTTTGACCGAATCGATATCAAGTAGCTCGCTATCTGTCTCCTCTCATTTGCAGTCCTAGCTATATTTTTTTTTTCTCTGATCTTGAAAAATTATTTGATGGTTTCGACTCACTACATCATTCATGTTCCTAACAAAATTCATCTATCTCAAAGTAATTTTTAAACTACTCATTCTTTATTTACATGTAGAAAATAGGTGATTATTTATTTTGAAAAAAATAACGAGTCAGATTCATCTAATAATTTTTCCTGAGCTTGACTATAAATTGAAGTATTGTAGCGATTTATATAGACATTTGGCGATGTTTCACTCATCCCCAATTAATACGATACAAATATGTTTTCTCAATATTATTTTTGATTCAGGAAACTCGAATCCAAAACTTTTTAAGGGTGTTAAACTCGTTACCACTGGATTTAACAAAACTTGGTAATGATCGGCGGGTTAATTTAACCATTTTTTTAAACAATGACAATTAAATTTTATTAATAATAGAATAAATCTAAAATTACATCACATAAGAATAAAGAGATAAATATGAAATAATAGTCATCAAAATACTCAAATAAAAGTAAATAATAAACCTAAAAATACGAGAGAAAAAATTAAAATATTCTATTAAAAATGAAGACCAATATCAAAATCCAATAACCTTTATATAAATTTCTTGTCTCTGTCGAATAAGAGACTTGACGAAGTGATAAATAGAGTGGAGAGCGTACCAAATAATCTGGTAGGTTGTTTCGCTACACAATTCTGATTACATCGGCAAACAACCTTTTACCAAAAGAGAGAATCTGACTATATGTGATCACTGACTAACCAATTAGAAAATAAATGTTTGTGCGAGAACCAAAACAACCGCAAATGTATGCGAAAAAATATAACAAAAACTATGAGGATCGTGCCACAAGAGCAGAGGAAATGCGTGCCACAAGAGCAGGGAAAAATCATGTCACAAAGACAGAGATGCATATTCAAAATTTTAAAAACTCAAGAGAAAAATATAAAGATATAATATAAAAAATAAGAGAACTAATATTTCCTGTGATCAGCAACCAACATTAAGATTAGTGTCGCACCAAATTAGGTTGAAAGAAAAGAGAGGCAACTAAGGTTTAAATTTCACTTTTTAACTTCGAATCAAGTATTTATCAAGAGTTCTAAAATGAGCAAATCGGATAAAATGAATTGAATCTATAACTTACACATAATACATTATATATGTATTTGAAAAATTAGAGAATATAATCAATACTACTTTTATTAAGTTAAGATGAATTTATATAAATCAATACCCGTTCTAAATACTTTACTATTTGACAATGAACACTCAATCACCTTGCTACAGTCGCTGGTGAATGAACTTGTAACCTTTAGGAACAACAACGATCCCAGTAAACACTAAGGTAAGTAGGTAAGTTGATTCATGCAATTAATACTAATCGGATAAAAACCAAAATTTAAAAAATTAAGAATATAAAAACTGAAAATAATGAATTAAAGTTATATCTTTGAGACAACTTCTCTCCGTCTCCCATTTAGAAATTATACGGGCGGTGCCACTGCCCAAAATTTTATTATTGGAGGTCCAATTAATAATGGTCCGCCAGCTCACACCTCTTGAGTTGGCTTTTCAAATAATATCGACGAAGGGTCAATCAGAATAATTTATCTTAAAATGTTTTATAATCATTGAAAATGATTTTTCATTGAAAAAATTAACAGCCGAAAAACATAATATTTGAACGTTTATTTTCATTTAATTTAACTTTTTACATTTATCTTCATTTAATGTTTAAAGTTTTCTCTGATCCAACTAGGCATTTAAACTTAATTTATAAAAATAATATATTTACTCTAAATTATTTTTTAAAAAGTTTAGAATGATTACAAGTGTATATGTTTAAAGTTTTCTTAATTTTTTGACGATGCACGTTAATTTTATAGATAAAACTGCTCGAATTATATATAATTAAAAATAATAATATATTTTTTCTATCGAGGTCTCTCAATAAATTTATATTTATCCTAAAATAAAACCTTGTTTTCAAAGCCATCATTTAGTATCATTGCGAAGCCCATTCTGTTATTTGTTTTTACAGGCCTTTATTCTTTGTACTGGGAACCGTAAGCCCCAGCCTCAAGGCTGTATTAAGAATGCACGACCATAGACCGGGTGGGTTGTCTAAAACCATGGCCTATGATTCATCACAAATTTCACCCTTTGATAAGGAACGTTTATACTTTTGACATACGCGTTGTGCTCGAACCCGAAACATCAAGGAATATCAACATACCCTTTAACCATTGAAATCACTTGGTTTATATATATTATTTATATCCGATCCCATTCTTAACATAATCATTCTTTCTCTGTATTTTCTTTGGTGTTGGCATATTAATTGGCGTATTGCATGCATGGCCTCTTCGTAACGTAAATGCATGCTTTCACCAAGCTATTCTCTTTCTGTCAGAATCAATCGTACTGTGACGGAAGAAAAATGGCGAACTGATTACTTCTTCTGTTGGACTTTTATTAAAAAGTAGAAAATTTAGTTGAAGTATATATCTCGTTACGTAAATTTATTTTGTAATCAAGTAATTATCTCTATAAATATATGTTAGTGATCATTGATAGGGTAGTAGTTAATCGATTAAACTTTGAAAGTGGTGTATAACCACAATCTTCTTCTATTTTTGTTATTTTAGATTTAGTGAATTTCTAGAATGACATTATCTCTAATTACTTTAATTAATGTCATTAGGTAACTCTATAATGAATGTCAACTCCAATAATGTATTATGTATATCACATAATTAAACATCAAAAATTCGGTTTATACATATATTAAATTATGTCTCAGTAAAGTGCAGAAAATATAATTTTTTTTCTGCAACTGTGAGTATAAGTACTGATATAAATCATATAATAACATGAAATAGCTCCGACCAAGACATTTTCAAACCTTTTCTTATGCCCTTTCACGAACTGCATGAACATCCGGCCTTTCAGATCTCCTAAAACCTCTGACCAAAACAAAAAAAAAAGTGCCCCTTTGCCATAATCAAAAGCAAACTGCCCCTTTCCATTAGAGGCCATTTGATGCTATATATGATTGCTCTCATCAGTTCTCTTGGCTCTTTTCAAAAACGCATACAAATCTAACGTATTTTTTTTCTTTTTAATTTATTTCCTTTGTTTGCACATGATGTTTCATCGACGGATTAAGTCGAAATTGTTTACAAGTCCACATTGCTATCTGCTCGCAAGACTTGTTTATCATTGAGATAGTATGATTGCTGCGGTTTCTGTTGAAAACGATGTGTTCTCGATCTACATGCATCAACATTTCGCAGCGTTTTTGGTTGCCCTTTTTGCAACCCTAATGATTGACACAAACCAAGTGGTCTCCAAGATAAAGAAATTATTGTTATACGTTCATGAACCGGGTTCGAACACCAGGTATGCTAGGAATGTAAACGTTCAACAACGTAAAGAGGTTGAGAGTTATCTTTGAGAACATATATTGTCTTAAACTTACCCCAGATTAATAAAAAAACGATTAGATAAGTTTTCACATCTCTTTCTTATATTTTTTTCGTTAATTTGGTTTCAAATCTACGTAGGGATTTAATTTGCTGTAAGGGTAGACTTTATGCAAATAAAGTATATGGCTTACTTGAAGGGCTTGTGATTAGGAACGTCACCTATGATATAAGCACATGTACGATCAATGATTATTATAAGTATGTTTCATATAACATGTGTTTTTTTAATCATTTTGCTTCATTGTCCAATTTGGACTTCATTTCATGTTTTTCATACTATATATATACATATATAAATAAATAAATGTTAATCTTGTCTTTGAATATTAATTATGGAATTAATTTTGATTAATGCCGTTTCTTTTCTAATATATTATATTATTTATAGACTCTAGCATTTTAATCGAGGACTATGCACTAAGAGGCTCCCAACACTTTTCAGTACTGTTTTACTTCCACAGGTTTTGATGCTTCGCAATTCTGAGGTGTTAATCAAGAAACATAGTTAATTAAAATTAAAAGATTTATGGGTGATTATCAAGCGAGTTAATCTCGAGTTAGGCAGTTATCAACTCGTACTCGTTAAAAAAATATGTTGCTCGACTCGACTTGTTACTCGTTAAAATTTTGTTCTACTCGTGCTCGGTAAAAAAACTTGTTGTTCGACTCATGCTCCTTAAGCTCGTTGCTTGTTAAGCTCACCAAAATTTCTATCTATTTTTTTAACTATATGTAAAATCTACTAATACTATATAGAGTTTAATATAAATATAAATTGATACATTTAACCAAAAAATTATCAAAAAGAGTGTATTAAACAAATTGAAAGTCTAAACTCTATTATAACAATCCATAAATACATTAAAATAATAATTAGGGTTTAAGATTTTAGTGTAATAAAATAATAATTATTAATTAATAATTTAATATTTTTATTATTTATTAGAAAATTAATAAAGTATTCATTTATTAATAAATTAGTAATTTTTTAAATGAAATATTTTTTTAAGATAACTAGTAAAAAAATTAAAGCGTTGCTCATAAACT